GATATTAAGCCTTCGATTTGGGACTTCCCTTCTCACTCTAGTCCTTTGTACCCGCTAACTATGGCCTAATCTTGGAGTCTTTCTGGGCTTTCCTGGGCCATTGGCTTTCTCATTTGCAGCTATTTCCTCCTGCCTATTTGAGGATGCTTTATTTTACCCTGTTTACTTATCAAATACTGACATTCTCTCTTCATCTACAAGAAATTTGTTGAAATCTCTCACTTACCTATAGTCTCTTTCCCAATTTTTGTTTACTATGAGTTTATTTTTTTCAATATCATTTTACCTACCACTCAGCCTGCCACTGTGATCTTTAAAACAACCCCCCACCTGCCGCCACTCCATGCAAGGAAAAAGGGAGACGGCTGCTTGACTTACGGCATGGGAGCGCATACTCTAAAGGACATTGCCTCCTCTGTGAAGGCATCTTTGACACCATGGAGCCTGGCAGGGCTTTAGGTGTCCTTCCTGGTGTTAGACTTCCCTCCCTGCTAATAATGTCTCGCGTCCTCAGGCCATACCACACACTATTCCCCTTGTGCCAGTCTTCTACCACCACTCATTTCCATTATTCCTTGAAGATTTTACCTCTGACTCACAGTTTTTCCAACACTCTTCTGTTAAGAGCCTGACAGATGATATTTCCAATATTCAGTATTTCAGTTCCTTGACCTCGTTTCTTTTAGTGGCCACGTTCTTCATTGTACCTGTTACTTATTCCTGTGGTTACACCCTTCACCTTGTCGTTGCCAATATTGTCAGTTTCAAGCATCCAGTCTTTGACTACTATCTTGTAAAAAATCATTTTTGTTCTTCTAGAACTCAAACACCAACAATTTTCAAGGAGTATGTGGTCAATTTACCACCTTTAGCATAAACATTTGTTTGCTCTCTCTTCCTTAACAACTTTCTTAATTTAGCCGCTTGCCAGCAGTCTCCTGACTTTCTTCCTCCCTTACTGGCTACAAGTCAGTATACTTGCAATATTTAAGGTACCCTCCCATCAGCAGTCTGATCTTATTTACCATTATATTCATGTGACTTGATTAATGTATTTGTCAGTTATTGTCACAAGAATGTGGCATAACAAATAGACTTAAATTGTTAGTGACTTATTTCCACAGTAATTTATTCCCATGCTTATAGTTCAATAGTTTGGGTGGGATAGATCGGTCTGCTGGCTTCTGGTTGGGCTCAGAACTGCTCCCCATGTCCTGGGTTGAATGGCCAGGCACACTGATCTCCCTGGTCTTCCCCAGCATTCCACTGCTATGCCCTCTCACCAGCATAGCTTACCTTACCTGCCATCCTAGGTGAGGGTGGATTGATGCAGAAGTTACTTTATTTGTGTGCAGATTGGCTCTAACGTTGGCGTTTTGCTGTCTACTTATTGTCCAGCCATGATTAGCTTCATGCGTAGTGGATTATATTTGTGTTCATCCCTCAGCTTTATAACTTCTTTAGGGATGTCAGTATACCAAAAATGTTTTGAAACCACTAAGTTTTGGTAAAAATTAATGCAAGTGTAACTTATTACTCTGCCAAACCCAGAGTAGACATTTCCAATTGGTCAGCATTCCTTATTTGAAATTAAATGTTATAAAGTTAATTATAAAAATGTTGGAGGTGGTAGGGTTGTGGAGTGCAATTTAAAAAAGAATGGCGATTAAACCATTTACTATAATAATAGTTGTATACTCTGCTATAAAGAATAGGGCAATGGCCCTGTGGCATAATACTCAACATTGAAGCCTAAAACAAATTCTCATTCACTCTTTGTTAAGTCAAAGGGTGCGGGTTTGGTCTCTGATAATGTAGAAATAAATCACATTATTGCTAAAGGCCATGATGAAAGTAGTAGTCATGTATTTTCTTGGGTGTTTACAAGGGTTGATAGTGTGAATGGTCCATTTATTAGCAACACTAAGGAAAATAATAGCAAGAGTTACCTTGTATGAGATTACTTGGGCTGCTGCTTGTAATGCTCATATTAATGAATATTTTAAATTGTTAAGTAAAATGAGATAAAAATACATCTCCACTGAGGGTTATACAATTTATTAATTTGCCATCACTGGCACTAACTTATTAGCCACAAAAAAAACCTCTCCTTTCTTCTAAATATTTCCAAGTATAATCTGCAACAAAGACCTATTGTTGTGTATCTTACCTTCTTATAATGGTGATATTGGACTTAATTGGCATTTATAGAAGTGAAGTAATAAGTTTCCTCTGAGTTTTTCTAATTCTTTCAAATTCTAGTCCCAGAGATTCTGAATTTGGGACTACTCCTAGGCACCAGCAGATGGAGCATTCCCTGTGCCTCCACTCCTTGCGGAACCACATACACCCTAGACTCTGGGGAGTTTTGGTCTGGGAAACATTTGCCCAGGTTTCTGGTTATCATATTTCCCCAACAGGCACCTGTTTGACTGGCATTTCCTGGCATGCACACATCTTCGCATATTTCTTTGTCGGTTGAGTTTGGCTTGAAAGGAGGTTCCGGTAGTGTATTACTTCACACCACCAAGTAAGTTCAAACATTCTTAGCCCAGAAACCAAGCTACACAGAGTGATGAAAATAAACATGGCTTGAGTAACTCAACATAGATATTGCTGTTATACTAATAAGGTGTTAATTAGGAAAGAGCACTTAGCTTTTTTACTGCCAACTTAAACAAGCTGGCTTTGTTTTTGGCTGTGGGCCCTATAACTGCATCTCAAAGTGCTTTGCAAACATTAATTATTTCAGTGCACATCCAAGTAGTAGGTATCATTAAACTCTTTTTCAAGATTTGGAAAACAGATTCCCTGAGCCAGTCTATGATTGACTTACGACCTCAATGGGGTTGGGTTTAGAACTCTGTGAACAGTCCCCAGACTTCATGCCCACCTTCCCAGGCTTCTCCAGCAAGTCAGGATGTCTCCTCCTCTGCCATCAACTACAGCATCTGCACTTTCCATGATTGGGCTGATTGCTGAGCCCTACTTGTTCATCTTTATTGATACATTATAACCTGTCATTGTCTGGCTCCTGATTTCTGTTTCAAAAGTGTGATTCTCAAGAGAGCACAGTAGCTCATAGCTGGTAACGGTGTTGCACATCCAGCTACTCAGGAGGCTGAGACAAGAGGATCACAAATTGGAGGCCAGTCTGGGTTATTTAGTGAAACCCTATCTTAAAAGATAAGAGGCTGGGAATGTAGGTCAGAGCTACTAGGGTTCAATCCCTAGTAGGAGACAGTGGCCATTGGTGATGGGGGTCGTGCTCACATGACTTGAAGCACAGACTCTAGCACAGGGAAGAGAACATTTCTCAGTAACTACTAAGCTGTAAGCACCCTTTGCACAATCCTCTAATGTCCCCTGGAAAAAGGTAGGCTTGTTCTATCACCGTGGCACCTATAGTCTAGGCCACAGGGTTGGGTAGGCTTGACTATGGGAAACAGCCAGGTCCTGTGAAGATGAAAGGGCTTCTTCCCTGAGTCTTCTGTGTTCAAGCTGTTGTGTTGTGTTTCTCTCTGGTTCATAGATGCAAGAGAACAAAACACATGAAGTACCCAGAAGCTAGAAGGCTCCCCATGAATTCCACAGTGGTGTGTCCAAGGCAAACTGTCCATGCTCTGCCCTACAGGCTGGCTGTCAGTCACAGAGAAACTAGAGGGACCTCCTTTCAGTCACAGACACCAGGCTGGATGACAGGAGGGAGACCCTCAGCGTATCAGGCTCCGCCTTTGAGTTCTATCCACCCAAACACATACTGCACTTGCACATGCAGGGGCGACGTGCCTGGGGCTTTCCTGTGTGGCTTCTGGAGGTGATGTCAGGCTTACCTGTACAGCTCTGACAGGCACTTGAGTGCAGGTTAATCATTCCATGCTGCTGAGTTAGCAAAATATGCCCAGGGGAGGTTTCGTGCCAGATGAATCGCCTGAGTCCAGGATGTGGCCAGCAATGTGTCACTCACACCTGGCTTCTCCTCCTTCTGGAGGAGCTCCTTGAGCAGCTCTTCTATCTTTAGTTAATTGAGGTCAGGGGAATCCTGACCTACAGTCAGATGCATTTTTTCATAAATTGGCTGCAAATATATGTTGCCAATATTTGAAGAATCCCCCCTTTAAAATCCCCTTTTCTAGCGAATTATCCCTTTCATAGCTATAACTGATATGTACCAGATCTTACTAGTACAAGACCTAACTGGGATAAGATATTCACCTGTGTGGAGGGCTAGAGACTGCTCTCAGCTTCCTTTTGCCTGCTGTCCTTTTTTTCTGTACTTTCCAAGGAATGACAGAAACCCATAAGCAACTAATGCTTCACAAGCAGAGTCACTAAACTTTGGCTGATACAGGATGAGAAGGTGGTTGAAAACAGCTCATGTTTGTAAATTTCATGCTTTATGGGTTTCTGGAGGCTTTGACAGTATTCATGCAAATGTTCTGAATCAGCAGAAGAACGTACAGGTAGATAAGAGGTTCTCAGGATCTTCCCAGGTGCATGATGTTCTTGCCTTGCTAGAGATGTGAAGTGGTTGGCACACACTGTGTCTCTGTGGACAGGGCTGGACTGAAGTTTACAGTAGCAGTGACTGAGTGCAACTCATTTGTGAATCAGATAGACCAAATGTTTGTGTCTCCTCAAATTCATATGTCAAAATCCAAATCCTCAAAGTGATGGTGTTTAGGTGATGATAATTAGTTCTTGCAGGTGGAACCCTCATAAATAAGATTAATACTGTTATAAAAGAGACCCCAGAAAGCTCTCTTGCTCCTACTCCGTGAAGACTGAGCTAGATGACGGCTGTATATGAATCAGGAAGTGAGCCCTCACCACACATTGACTCTGTCAGTATTCAGATCTCAGTCTTCTCGCCTTTGGAACTGTCAGCAATAAATTTCTGTTGTTTACCAGTTACCCAGTCTATGGTACTATAATGGCCCAAACAGACTAAGACAGTGGTGCTGTGGAGGTCTCTGGACACTAGCCCAATGACCAAATACCTGCTTCCTGCACAGACGGGAGCACATTCTGGTCCCCACTACTACTTCAGAAGCTGGAGTTCAGTGAGGCTTATACTGCAGGCTGGACTGTGCAGCATTCACTCTGCTTATGTATTCTGAGACAAAAAGAAGGGAAAAGAAAGGGAAGTAGGAAAGGAAAAGAAGTCCTAAAATTCAGTTAAAAAGAATGATGACAAAAATTTTTCTTCCCCAAGAACGTATAAGCAAAAGTTGGCCTTCATTCAGTTTGAGGCCTGAATTCATACCACCTATGTGTAAGGACCCTTCAGCCTCCCTAAGGAATGATATATGCACCTGTGAAAATTTGCAGGGGAAAATCCGCTGATGCCTACAACTTTGCAGTATTTCTAAAAAATGTGATGGAAGCATGGATAGACATAAACATATAGTTGACAGACATGATAAACGAGGATAATAAAACAGTAGTAGATTCTAGATAAGGGTATATGATATCTTTGTGATATTGATATTGTGATATTGCGATATCTTATTCATCCATGTAAAACCTCATTTATTTATGTCTTCTTCAATGTCTTTCTATAAAGTGCAATATTCTTCTCCACAGATATGTTATGCATTTTTGTTGGCCTTATTCCTAAAGCCCTAATTTTTTTTGTTTTGTTTTTTTTTTTTTTTTGAGACAGGGTCTCACTATGTAGTTGAGACTGACCTGGAACTCACTATGTAGCCCAGGCTGGTCTCGAACTCACAGTGATCCTCCTGCCTCAGCCTCCCAAGTGCTGGGATTATAGGCGTGCGCCACCACGCCTGGAAATATTTCTTTTTTTTGATAAAGCCCTAATTTTTAAAGTATTTTTACTTTAAAGTGCTACGTGAAAGTATTGTGAAAATTTTAGAAGATACTTCGCTTTCCACATTTCCAGAAATTAAAATAATTTTGAAGTTTTGAACAGTTTTTCATAGATTGGCTGCAGATGGATGTAGTCGATATTTGAAGAGTCCCCCTTTAAAATCCTTTTTCTAGCTAATTATCTTTTTTATAACTGTAACTGGTATATATCAGATTTTCCTAGTGCAAGACCATATTTCTACTTGTGCTCAAAATTAAAATGGCACTTTGTCCCCATGACACTTCCCCACAGGAAGTCCAGTTTTATCTGGTTGTTTCCTTCCCTGCTCAGATTTCTGAGGCTCAGGCAGAGCTGACTTTACATGCCACTGATTTCTGCTGGCCTCACTGGTCATCTCCTCCACGAGGGAGACTTCACCAGCACTGCACTGGTGACCTCCCAAACTTTTGCTGCCTTCACCCAAACCACTCTTCCTGAGAATCAGCACAACACAACAGATAGACAGACAGACAGACAGACAGACACACCATCTCTTGATTCCTTGGAGTAATGACTGAGCCAAAAACCAAAAGTGTAGAGATTTAGGGGTAATAAACAGGATGAGACAGCAAGGTATGGCCCCAAGTTATGGCCAAGGTTCATAACTCCACCTCTGGGTGGCAGGGACCAGCTTCTCTCAACCAATAGTCCTGCATTTGACACTCTAAGTCAAAATCCAATTCTCATAACCAACAGAGTGAAGAAAGAGTTTTTAAGCTTCCTTCTTCTGAGATTTACCTCCCTATTCCTCATTTCCTATCCCATGGTAAAAGTCTTCCCGACAGTGGGAAATTCCACCCCTTTTAGGGAGAAATGTCATTGCACACTGAAAGGAGTGGCCTTGTGCAGTGCTCTCTAAATAAGACAGTCTTGTGAGAATATAATGATCCCAATATGAGCCTATCTGGTGCTAGTCTGTCAGAAAGGATTCTGTATAAGATGGAGAGCATGGGAGATCTGTAGTAGGGCACACCTGATTGAGTTCCTTTCCCTTCTCCTAGAAATTTGTGCTGCTCTATTTGCCTTGCCCCTACCCCAGGAAGTGTGGCTCAGGTGACAAGTACATATAAAAGGATGGGTGAAATATCAGGCTGACAGTCATTTCCCCCAGGAGAAGACTGCTATGGAACAATCCAGGAAAATGACTGCAGTGACGACAGCCACACTTGAGTCCTCTGCAGAGTGAGGGCACTGAGCGTGAAGGCTGATGAGTTCCTCGCATCATGTGTACAGTGCTCACCTCTGCCTGCCCGCATGACGGCTGCATTCAGTCAGAACTCCAAGGTTCAGGGTAGCCCACAAGGGCCGCTGCTCGGACATGCCCCAGAGGGCACAAGGGGGCTGCCACACATCAGCCCCAAAGAGAAAATCCGAACTATTCTAGCTGGGGCAAGGCTCCTGACCTGGAGCACATCCAGATGGCCTGGGAGTGTGGAGAGAGGACACCAATGGTGGCTTTCAGGGATGATGTCAGAACTGAGACCTCGACAAGCCAAGAATGCCCAGTTTGCAGAGGCTGAGAAGGGGATCATGATAAGGATCGTCCCAGCAGCTGGCATAGGCTAAAGACTCCAGAGTGCTGCTTAGTGCTTTCAAAGTGTGATCTCCTTCATGCTTGCCAGGAAGGTACCATATTACTTCTGGTATAAATACCCATAAGCTTGACAAAGTGGAAGCCAGGCCTTGTGCTCACCTCTGTGTAACGTGTTCAGACAAAAATAAATGCAAAAACAGTGACACAATACCCTTTTTAGCTACCATATTTAGCAAACTTTTTTTTTTTAAATAACAGTTACTTCTACTAAGAATGCAATGAAAGGCACAGCTTTACAGAATCATGATCTCTAGCTCTCTGGAAACCCATGTGTCATATATCTTGAGTGTCATAAAAACATCCAGTGCCTCTAAAGTTTATTTTAAGAAAGAAGTTAAATATGAACAGAGATTTGTGCACAGTTGTTGTTGGAGTTTCCTGTTTTTTGCAATTAACATTGCAAAAAATTAAAAATTTATACATCTTTAATAAATTAGATTTATTCAGGGTACAAAGTATCAGTTGGGTGGGATATTATGTAATTTTTCTAAAGGATGTTTTAAAATGATGCTTATTGACTTGAAAGTGCTTATGATGTTATTCTAAGTGAACATATTTTTTGGTTTCTTTGTATTGCTTAAAAGAGTTTGTAATTTCCTCATTTAGATTGTACAGATTTCTTATCAGGATATTCCTAGGCATTGTATACTTCAGTGAATGGGTCATCTTTAACTTTACATCTTTTATATTATTATTGCTGATCACAGTAAAATATTTGGTATTTATATTCCTTTCTAGTATACCGCTACTTTGTTTATATAATAGTTTTTAGTCAATTCTCTTGGATATTCTAGCCACAAAAACAAAACTATTTTTCTCTCTTTTCAATTATCCATGCCACATGACTGGTTCATATTTACAGCATTATTTCAGAACTTCCTCCTCAGAGTTAAATGATTGTCACTTTTGTCTTCAATCCTGTTCACTTCTCTATCACCCAATCTCCCCTCTCCTTTCCCAATTCCTCCCAAAAGGAGAAGTTGCTAATGAGTTAGTGCAAACCAAGATAACCATCCAGACTTTGTTCGCTAGTGAGCAAGGTTGTCATCAAAGGGGCAGACAGCCATGCTGTGTCTCTCCCCCTCACTTCATGTTCTACATCATGGACCACACTGGTCCTCATCCTCCATGGAGATTGGCTTGAGTGTGCTGCTTATCACTGCAACTTCTTATACCATGGAATCCACCAGAGCGGGGACAAGACTCCAAGGCTTAGACCCAGTCTTAGGAAGCACCAAACAACCTGCTCCAACTAAGTGTTCGCCAGAAAGATCTATCATAGAGGTTGTGAGGCACCTGCCTGGCTATCAGATGATACTTGAGTGGCCAACTACTCTTATTTCTTATTTGAGCAGTTCTTGCTGGGGTTTCACAGAGGGGGAAGTGATTAATGAGATGGGAATCCAACTCCCCTTGGATCTTCTAGGCAAATACCATCAATTTCTGCAAACCACTTGCTTGTCATATAAACCACATGATACAGGAGAAAATAGTTCTCCTGTTTTTTTTGTTTTTTTGGTACATTCATCAAGAGTGGGAAATCCTAACAAAGATAGCAATGATTTTTCTTGTCTTCAATTTAAATCTTAATTAGCTCTGATCTTGCAAGGGCACATTTTTTTAATTTATAAATTTCTATTGCTTAGGAAAACCAGACGATGCTATTCACATCTGTAAGTGGTCTAATTAGTAGAGTACTGTTCTGGCAAGTAGCTAATTGAAATTTATCATGAAGTAAAATTCAAAATGATGGCCAATTTTCCTTTCAGTAGACTATGATATATGGTTGACAAATCCATTGTAATTGCTTATATCTTGGGAAGTAATCCAAAATTGCCCTGTGGTTCTGAAAGGAAGATTTCCAACACATGGTAGTTCTGTTTTCCCTTTTCTTCTACTGACCCCAAACTAGTAATACTTTAGAACTCCATAGGTTTCTATCATAGATTGTATGTATCTCTTCCCAGCATGTGTTTGTGTGTGACCAACTTGAGTTATGTTCACTTAAAAATAATAATGGCTTGGAGTGGTGGTGCATGCCTATAATCCCAGCACTCTGGCATCAGATTGTTTCTTCCATATTCTACTCCATATGGGTTTTTTTTATTCCAGGAATCTCAGTCCTCTACAATTTTATTAGCAGGAAGTTTCTATCTATGTTGCCTGCAGGTGAGGCTGTCATACATATCCCAGCCCTACATGTTACTCTCCTTTCTTGGATCACCACTACTCATTAGTAGACTTTCTTTCTTTTCTGCCTGCTAATTATATTTGGTATTTAGACAGTTCTGTTTGCCACTGGGATCATAATCTCAGCATTAATGGCTTGTAAGAATTTGTGGTATTATCCTCAGACAAAGGACTAATATCTAGAATATATAAAGAACTTTAAAAATCAGCCCCCCTAAATATAAAGACCCAATTCAAAAATGGGCATCTGAAATGAACAGACATTTCTCAGACAAAGAAATAAAAGTATCAAATAAACATATTTAAAATGTTCAACATCACCGCTCACCCAAGAGGTGCAGATGAAAATAACACTGGGATTACACCTCACCCCAGAAAGAATTGATGCTATCAAGAAATCAATCAATAACAAATGTTGTGGGGAGAAAAGAACCCTTCTCCACTGGTGGTGGGAAGGCAG